AAAATAAAATAAAATTTAATTAATAAATCAAAATAAAATAAAATTTACATAATCATGAAATGCTTTTGCTTCTTCTGAATGAGGATGTTGATCTCGACGTTCTGGTGCTGCACTGTATAAATCCCAAAAAACACTAAAAAACAACAAGATAATCTCAATAGGAAACTTTAAGATCAATTTTTCTTACCACCACCAACTAAATAAAAATCCTGGTGCTTCACCAAGTGACATTTTATTTGGCTCCCATTTCATCTATTCATATAAAATTAATATTCAAATATATTTGAAAATATATATCCTTACATCCGCACAAAATCCCTGAGCAGCTTTTGATGCACCAATATGGTACAAATATTCATAAACATACAAATTCAATCTAAATAATAAATATAACAAAAATAAAATAAAAAAATAATAATAATAATTTTTACTTTTCTTTTGCATGCATATCAGATGGAGCAGTAACACCTTTATTTTTTCCGTACATGATTGATGATGTATTAATTTGGACAAAAATAAAAAAAGAACAACATTTTATGTAAAAATCTAGATGAAAGAAATATTCGATCTATAATGTATATATATATGCGTATATATTTTATATTAAGATATAAATGAAAAGATATGATTGATTGATTTTATGGTAATAAATTCTGTCAAGTAGAAACCATTGTTCCATTCTTATACCTCTCTATTTGATTGATTTTAAAATAGGAATTAAATAAAATGAGAAAAACAACTAAGAATTTAATTTTTAAAAAGTTATAATTTGAAATGATATCTTTTTTTTGTTTTTCTTTTTCCATGTTGACCTAGATTTCTAACGAAAAGATTTGCTCTTTGGTAAAGGTTCATATGAATTCATTGATTGGTTAAGAAACCAAACCAATACGAAGTTATTTTTAAATTTGTACAGCAACTTAATCATAAAAACCACTTGTATAATTTTGTAAGTAAATATTTTTCGTAATTCTTTTTTTTATATTGAATTTGTTGAATAGTGAAAAGTAACATTTAAAAATAACCTGTACAATTTTACTTTAGATATACCCTTTCACCTTCACTCAGTGCTCTGTATGAATTATATCAATAAGTATTGTGGCTATAATTAAGTTAAAAAAATGTTGCCTAGCAAGAAAAATCGATAAGAAGATTTTAATAAACATTAATAATTTATAATTTCATTTTATTAAACCTCCAATAATGCAACAGCAAAATATAGGTGTAAAAATAATTTTTTTCAGAAAGACTTATTTTTATTAGAAGAAAAAAAATGAGTATATATACGAAAGATGAAAATTTTCAATAGAAGAATATTACAGCTCTCAGAAAAAAAAAACCAATATCCTACAGGTTTATATAAATTTATCGATACGTAGAAGATAGTGTATATGGAAGCAAATAGAGCGGATCAGTTGGGGATATCCCTTGGTGAGAACAAAAATAATCTTTGAATTACAGTAAAACCTCTATTAGTAAACGCATCACGTTTTGAACAAACTCCCGGTCTCACGAGGAGATTTTTCCTGGAGACGCATCTCCCATAGGTGAACATTAGAGTTCGCTAGGTTCAAAATTTTTAAACCGTACTTTGATATTTTCAATGAACTTTTCCAATTGGAATTAAATAGTTCCCTAGAAGATACGCGATACTCTTTTCCAGTTTTGTCATATTCAGTGATTAGTACATCGTAAACATTTTTTAGACGACTAGAGTCTGGCGGATTCTACTGAACGCTTCTGTACTTTGAACTTGAACATTATTTTTTCTTCCAGTTTCGATTGCTATTTTAACCTCTTTTAAATGAACACATGTGCATTTTTTTTTCTCCCTCTCTTCTTTAATAATTCTGCCTAAAGTACTAAAATTATTCGTCATTGAATGTTATAATTGTATGCATGAGAGAAACCAGTGACATAATAACGACAGCAATGGTTTATCACAATGTGAATTAGCTGAAAACTCGAATATTTCACTTGGTTTTGTATCCAATAGTTTAAAATGAAAAAGAAAAAGCATATTTAAATAGTTATTAAATAAACTAAAATCAATACATTAAATAAAAATTCAAAAGTTTTAACGTAACAAAACTTAATAAACATATATTTGCATGAATTACACAGCAACATTCATCAAATTTACACATAACAAGAACCAAAACAGAAAGTATAAAACTTTGTAAAATAAAACAAAGTTTTGTATTCATAAACACTGAAATGAAAAAAGATAAACAAACAATCCAGAGAATGATCTCTAATTATTTTAAAAACTAGTAAAGAAGTTTATATTCTGAAAAGCCCTTTGTTTTTCATTTCATAATAAAACATATTACACCTTCAATCAAGAAATGTTTCTCAATATTAAATACATTTCAAAAGTTACAACAATGTTTACTTAAAAGAAATTTTTACTATAATGAAACTTGTTTCTCATGAAATTTTATGTCTTCTGAACTATACATATACACCTCATTAAATTTCATCCCAATATGAACAATCATGCTCACATAAACACTTTTTCTATCAGCAACAATCGTGTATAATACTATGAAAAATAACTTGGTTTTACCGATTGTATTCTTAAGAGTAAAAGAAATAATGTGCATAACGAATATTAATAAGTGCAAAAAGATTTATTATTTAGAACATATTTTATATGCATATGATTGGAATAAAGAAAAATTAATTTTAATTTTATTCATATTATAATATTTGGTGAATCTCATAGGAACATTATATAAATGTGAAATAAAAAAGAAATGAACTCCTCGATATATTTCATTGTCTCTTTTTTTTTTTATAGAGCTTCGATCGAATAAATTAATTATCATGGAGATTTTATGAAAAGAAGAAAAGTTATTTAGTACATTATACTACTACTACTACTAAAAATATTTCTTCAATTTTTATTATATTAATATATATTTTACTTCAGGTGTGTCTCAATTAACAATAATTGTTCTTGCTTATGTAATGAAATACCACCATAGTACATTAAAAGAAGTGTATATATCTTTTGTTGACACACAAACTTCGTGAAGTGAAGGTTGTTTTTTTAAACACAATTAATATATTATGACAGTTGCTTAGTTTGATTACATAAAATAAACCTTGAGTATGTCATTTGATTAATTATAAAAGAAAAGAATCTATTGGAAATATTCAATGAATTTGGAAAAGAAGTAAAAATATTTTTGTATAATTTATTTTTACACTAAAGATTTATATTTAAAATACAAAATAAACAAAAAAAAGCAAGAGTGAAAGACTTGAAAAATTGAGCATTAATTTTTAATTTCATTGGCTATATCATTGTCATATTCCATATCTTGATCTAAACGTAATTCAATTAAATTATTTTCACAAAAATTTGAAGCTACTATTGATGACATATCTAATTTTATTAATTCATCATCATCATCATCATCTAATAGTAACCTCGTTGATTGTTGTTCGTAACTAACAACATCATCAAAGTGTGAAAGTCTATTGACTTGAATTGATATATGTAAGTTCGTTGAATTATTTATATGATCATTTACAGATTGAGAAGTTTGTTTATTGGTAAATAATGTATATGTGAACAGACTAATGGTTTTGGAAAAACCTACTTTAATCATTAAAAATATCGTGCCAATGAACGGTATTGAATAGATCGACAGGTCGTTAAGAAACATGTTTTGACAAATGAATGACGCTCAAATCAATAAGCATCGAACAGAAATACAAAAAAAAAAAGGAAAAGGAAAAGAAAAGAAAAAGACATGATCGAAACGAACTGTCGTACATAAAGTATGAGTAACGAACGATATGTCATTTATATGTACAGTAGATAACCATTATCGTTTTCTAACAACGTAAATACAGCGCACATATATATATATATTCAAACTAATAGTTCGTATAAATAGTATTATGCATGCAAGATGAATAAGCTTCTATTTTTATTTTATGACCTATTAATTATTGTGTTACTAAGCATGTATTTTTTTAGTTGCTTGTTTTTTTATGACGAACATTAAGATTAGTTAGAACATCTTCGATTTTGTTAATATAATATATTGTTTGTTTTTCTATTTCATGAACATATTGATCAAGTTCAAGATATTCATCATATGAAAGTTTTTTGTTAATATCTAAATATTAATATAAATAAGTTTATATATTATTTTTTTGGTTTTGAAATTATCAAAAGCTTTTTTTTTTTCAACTAAAATACAGAAATTCAGCAGAATTTTGATTTTCTAAAGCATTACACAATGTATAAATTTCTTAAAATATTTTTTTTTTCTGTACCCATCAAATGTAAATATAAATCATGATAACCTTGGACAACAAAAGACATGATAAATATTTATAACCAATCAAGGACTAAAGGCTCAAATAGCATTTGTAAAAATAATGAATGAATGATTGTATTTTTTTACATAGAACAAACATTAATGCATTGACAAAAAAGTTCGAAATTTTTCTTTTTTCTTCTTTGATATGGTAGATTGATTCAAATTTTTATAGATTTTTTTCAATTGCTAGTGTATTGAATGATTCTAAAGAAACAATTCTCATTCTTGGAGTAAATATTAGTATTTTCTAAAACAAAAAGTTTCTTGAAATTTTCTTTAAATTTCACTTGATCTTTGATAAGAAATGCATATATCTGTTATATCTTGCTAATTGAAACCCTTCTAATTAATTTTTTGTAATTACCCAATTTGTTTTCATGGTCACTAAATAAAAAAATAAGTAACATTAATAAAAAAATATTATTGAATAACAAAGATACTTAAGAGTAAAACAAAATTAATGACGAAGATATTTTAATTTTATTATAAAAAATTTAAAAAAATTTTCTCTTTATATGATCAGATAGTTGTTCTATGATATTTATTCATTCTTCAACTAATATTATAATAATAGAATTTTGATCTTCATCTCTTCTTATGTCTAACAGTCTATACATTCATTATTAGGGTATACAAAAAGTGATGTTGATAGAACAAACGACAAATAGAGAAGCAACTTTATTAAATGTACGAAATAATTATTCTGATTATTTACATTCAATTATATTCGTGTTGAATCCATTTATCGAATGATTTTTGTAGTCTTCTTTACTTAAAGAAGTCATGAACTTAATTATTCATATTACGATGCAACAATTTTGACTCATGTTAATCGTTTAGATTTTGTTTCATGAAGTCGAATAATCAGTAACAGAACTGAAGAATTACTTAAATAAAAACTTGATGAACTTGTTTCTATATTTCATTTTTTGTTTTACGGACAACACTTTTCGTATACTTTAATATATATAGACGAATAGGCATTAGAGGAGATACATCGAAGACAAAATATTATCTAATAACCCACGATGCAAAAGTATCCGTACAAATGTCGAAGCCTATTGTATATAAACAGAAAGCCCTAAAAACCGAACTTTTCCACTCATTGATAGGGCAAATTATGTACTTTAAAATGTATGTTTTCAAAAAATGCAGGATGTAGTTTAATACTTAAAATTTAAAAAGTTTTGAAACTACCAAAAATGACCTGTAACTTTTTAGAGCTTTTTTCTTGTTTTAATCTGCATCATAATGACTAAAAAACACGGTATATCGAGCGAAAACTTGAAGATAGGAGACTATGGAGTCTAGACTATCTACAGACTGCCTGAAAGTATGACTCAATAATTTTCTACGTTTTCATGGTAACCACCAATCACCGTCATCTACAAAAAAACGAGACATCGTAGTTTTGGCAAAAAGCTGTACCATTCGTAACGTTCAAAAATTTCAAAACGTGCCCCAAATTTGTTTTTAACTGAAGGATACGAAGCTACTAAATATGTACTGTCAGTTTTAAACCATTAAAACTAACACAAGCCGAACGTATGGAAGAATCACTAATTTTACCTTGATTACAAAGTCATTTTTTAGTGGTTTAGAAACTTTTTAAATTTTAAGTATAAAATTACATCCTCTATTTTTTTAAAAACATACATTTTAAAGTATAGGTTTTGTTCGATCAATGGATGGAAAAGTTCGGTTTCTAGTACTTTCTGTTTATATATAATGAGCTCCGACATTTGTACGGATACTTTTGCATCGCGGATTACTACCGTCACATATCATAACAAACAGTTCTTATTGAAATTTTATTATTATGATATTAGTTGAAGAATGATCAAATATTGGAGAAATGTAGAACATTGTTTATAATTTCAGACCATAGAGAGAAAACATTTCTTTAAGAGTACCTCAGCTCTTTTTCTGACTCCCGAATACAGAATAACTGGTTAAGTTGAAATATTTACCACTAACATTTGGAAGTATTCTCTATAGATAAAATTGTCCGTTTTCTTTGCTATCCGGATTTACAGGATCCTGAAAGTCAACATCCCGAGTTTAACACCGAACATTTATGTATTTCGAAAAAAGAAAGTGAGATTTTGGAAAAGAATTTTTTGCCTCGAACATCTGTCTCCTTATTCTAACTGTGATAAAAGTTTCAACTTGATCGCTTGCACCGTTTTCGAGAATCAGAAATAATCGAAAAGAGGAGAAGGAATGCTCTGAAACGTTTTTTATAAGGAATCTGTCACTATTTTTGGTATCTCCTAAGTATTTTACTTTTGATTAAGTTTTAATTGTCCTGTTTCTAAATCATGTTTCATTATCTTTTGTTCTTCTTCATCTAAATTTCCATCTTTATTTTTATCATATTTATTAATGATTTTTTTAATATCATCATCCGTATAACCACGAGTCTTATTTAACAAAAAAAAAAACACAAGTGAATATAATCCTATAAACAAACAAAATTTTCATTGGAATTTTACTTTTAAATTTGTTTCATAATCAATTGATTTTTTTCTCGGTATTAATTGATAAAAATTCATTGAAAATTTTTTTATTTTATATGTTTTTAATGTTGTATCAGATTCAATTCTTGAATATGTTTCATTTATAATAGCTAAAAACATATTTAATAAAACAAAATAAACAAAATAAATATATGAAAATAAAAATAATGGTCCAATTATTTGACCAACATTTCTCATTGCATAAAGATTAAAATCACCAAGTATCATTCGAAATAAAGCAAAACTAAAAATTAAAATGTTTTTTTTTTTTTTTTCGTTAGAAAAGATAAAAGAATATTTTAATAAATTTACATTGATGTACGAAATGATCTCCATTCAGTTAAATATCTACCAAATAAAATCCAACCAAGTTGAGTATAAGCAAGAAAAATAATTAAAAAAATTGATGTAAATGCAAATATTTCATTTAAACAAGATGAAATTGTTTTATTAAGTAAAAGCATTGTTTTATTTATATTTAAATATTTAAAAATTTTTACCCATGTTATTGCAAGTGTTAAACCTAAATAAAAATCTGAATTGATTTTTAAATTAAATAATTCATCAAAATTTGGATAATTATTTTCAATTTTTAATAATTCACTAAGATGTTTTGTTGTTGAAAAATGATTTAATATTTCATATAGAATACATATAAATGAAAGAATAATTGTGATAAGATTTATTAAATTCCATAGATTAAATAGAAATAAATATTTTTTATCGAAAATCTTAAAAGATAAATATTATTTTTAGAAAATTTTCATATTTAAATTTACTTCAATAACACATTCAATTATTTGAAGGATAACAATCAGAGTAAATATTATTTCACAAACAAAAGTTAAATAATCAATGGAAGATATGTACTAAAAAAAAGGATATATATATATATATATATTGAATTATAGTTTTGTTTTATTTGGATTAGATTATATATGGATGAAATATAAATCATAATTGCCTAGTTCATTCATCGCTAATGTGTGAAGTCTTCCAACTGATAAATCACTTCTGAGTCGATGCTATGTGTCATATGTAGACTCAAATGAGTTCTGAAAAGAATTCGTATCCTTAGCTTATTGCTGTGGAGATACTGCATTTTTAGGATATTTTTTTTTTAAATAAATGCTATAGTCTTTAATCAGGGTTGTCGAAATTTTTTAGCAAGGAAAAGGCTAAAAATCCGGCTGAAAGTGCTTTCACCTCGAAATGCTAGAGGTGGTGACTACAGGGAAGAGAAAAATGAAATCCACTGTTACTCGGTCCTCTTACAATAGACAATCGTAACCAGATCGGTCACCTTGCAACGATGTCGTCGGCTTATTTTTATTTCACTTTCTTGCAGATAAAAGTAAATCATGTTTCTATTCAAAGTTAGCACCAGAAAAACTAATCTTCAAATCTAAGAATCTTTACATTAAATAAAGTAGAGTATTTCCTAATAGGTTAGTTTCTCTTATCATTCGATATTTACACGATTATAACATAATTAATAAAATTTACTCTATTAACATACTCGAATTAATTTCACTGCTCGGATAGATGTTGAAGTAATAGCACCACCTACATAACCAACAAATACTTTCATTATATAATCAAAAAACAAAAAGTAACTATATTACCTGATGATGGATATTCCGCTAGAAGACTAAATGAAATATTTTAGTATCATAATTCAAATTCTATTTTACCGTATATGACAAAATAAATTAATATTTGGATTATAAACAATAACATCAAAAAATATTGCTCGTGTACCTCGATTAATCCATGAATTTCTTTCTAATTCTCGAAGAATTTCCATTGTTGTATTAGCACTAAACAATTAAGAAGATATTTTGTTTGTTTTTTTTCTAAATTTAGTTTCATAATAATTAATACTTTCGAGTAAACAATTGTACATAACCACCACCACCATATTCAGATACAACACCTGTATATACACTTGTTTTAGTCTGATTAACAGATGTATAATTCCAACTGTAAATATAATATTTTAAATATGAATTTAAAAAGAGTACTGAAAAACTTACGCATCAGATGTAAAGATATTTAATGAATTATTACCAAATGAATCTTGATCTTCTTTATCAATTGTATATTCTGCATAACATTTTTGAGTAAAATTTCGTTTAGCAAATTCTTTATGAAGTTTACAAGAATTTGGTTTAATCTTTAATGCAAAAATTTATCAAAATTAAATTATATAAGTTGACATCACTTTACTCGAACTTGTCTTAATCGTGCAACTCCTAAAAATGAAACAAATCCATTTTATCGAGATCTTCATAGAAAACTTTTGCCTATTACCAAGAATTTTATTTTCATTATATATGTAACCATAATCAGTTTTTGATATATTGAGTTCAGTATTATCAATATTATACAATCGTGAATAAATAGGTCCTTGTAATATCTACGAAAAAAAAGAACGACAAAAAGTTTGATTCAAACAAAAATAGTTTAATAAATAATAAACCTTCCAAAAATCTTCACCATTACTTCGTGCAATATCATTAAATGTATTTCCATCGTTGGTTTTCGAAGTAACGAATGCTTCTCTTAACATATTTGTATAATAGTATGTCGAATTGTTAGCTCGAGTAAAACTGACTGACCAAAAAAAAAATATATATATAGTTTATGGAATATAAATTAAATGATTTATATATTTCAAGAAATAACTGCTTACGAGAAAGTGATAATCATTAAAATATTTTGAAAGTTTCAACAAGAACAAATGTGCCGTTCTTGGGATATTCAGTTTCCAAAAAACAGTAGATGATTACAGAAGGACACAACAGTCAAATCTACTTGAAAATTGAGTATTTCGAGAATCATACGTTGGTTTTCTTCGAAACTTTCAAAAATTTTCAATGATTATCAATTCTATCTATAAGGAATATTGAAGAACAAAGTTCTTCATTTTGATGTTTTCAACATTTCTCTACTCTGACAAGAAAATTCAGTAAAACAGCCATAGCTCTTCAGTAATAGTCTATGAACTCGAATTCTTTTAAGTTGTTCTTCGTCTCACATAGATCTACACATAGTCATAATATCGGGTCGAATAGTATCCGACAGTTGGAAACGTTCCATCGTAAGTCGGTGTTTGAATAGATGTCTAGACAAATAGAAATAAACCATTCATCCTTATTCCATTAATCCATTCATAGGGCTATATCAAGACTCGACAAAGATCAAGAGACACAGCAAAAGAATGTGCAAAAATGTTAAGGCTCAACATATTTTAACTCATTCCTTATTGCTATCTATCGGTTTGAAGTAGATCTATTAATGGATTATAGGATTTACTTTATCTTTGCTATATTCTTTGAAATATTCATATTCATGATGTATTTTTCATACATTCTTAAATTAACAATATCAGAAAAACTATTAGATACCAGTGAGTGATGATGTTTTGTTCTCGATTATATAGAAAGCAAATAGGATGAATATAATCGTAATCGAAAGGAGAAACGTATAGACTCCAAAAAAAGAAAAACAAATAAAAATTGAAAAACTCGAAAAGCATTAGAGACCTGCATTGAAGTCATTTTTAGGAACGACAGAAGTTCTCTAAATTGCTTATCACTAAATTAGGTTGAACACCATAGGTTTTCTTTGAATGGTAAATTTTACTCTTTGATATTCATTGTACAAACTGATATTCATCAAAAACAACATTATAAGTTTCCTTATTCAACAGTTTAATAGATATAAAAGTATATTTCGAGTCTGATGGACAAAACTAAATGTTGATTTTTTCGAAGGAAAAGACAGATCTATTTATATTCCATCAGAAAAATCGAATACTTATCAACATACTTGTACAAATAATAATAAAACATGAACCATAAAGAATAATTTCTCCTATTGATATACTATTATTCTCTTCGGTATTTCTTTTTTTCAATTTAACTTAAAGAAAAAAAGATCTTTATAAATTATTTTAATTTCTTTTTTTTTTTATTATTTTCTCACTATTTGATTGAATTGTCGATGAACTTGAATTTGTATCTATGGTCAAAATCGATGTTTGAGATTGATTCTTTTCCATTCTATAAAACTATTTAATTAACGCGCGAAGATAGACGATTTATTTCAAGGAAAACATTGCTTAGACAAATACAACAAAAAGCTTATTGATTGATTAAAATAAATGTGTATATGTTTAATGTCTGTCAAGAAAAATAAAATTCATGAAAAGACTAGACAAGATTCACAACAACAAAGTTTTTTTAAAATTTAATATTGATTCATTTCATTCCACTTGATGGTCTTGGTCGTTCATCTTCACCTTGTCCATAACGTAGTGATGTATGACTTTGATAATAAGGCTTATTTGTTGTAGCAGGTAGATCTGTAAGTAAACTTTGTGTAGGTGTTTGACGTTCTGAATTATTTCCTTCAAGTTCATTACGAATCATTTTTTCTAAACGTTCATGTCTATCTTCTTTACTCAGATGATCATCCTAAAAGAAAAATATTATTAATATTTTTATTTAAATTTTTCGAAATTTATTTTTCATTTACTTCAGAAATAGTATTTAAAATTTTTGTTAAAGCATCACGACGTTTCATTTTACTCTTTTCTAATCCTTCCAATTTTGTTAAAACATCATCAATCTATATTAACAAAAAAAAAACAAAAACAGAAACATTTTTCTTTTATGTATTTAAATACATGAATATCTTTACTCTTGCAACAATAGTTCCAATTGAATATTCCATTCGATCAATACGTCGTACTACAATTGCAAATTCATCATATGTTATACGATTTGCATCATTATTTTCATTTCCATTTTGATCTTTTACATTAGATTGTCTAAATTCATTAAATTTTATCATTCAATTAAAAAATTAAAATATTTTTATTTACTTTGTAGCTTGTGATTCATTTTCTAAACCTTTAATATCCATATTTATATTATTTTCTAATGTAGTAAGATCAGATTTAAAATGAAGTTGTTCACCACCACGAAGTACTCGATCACCATCAACATCATAACGTGAAAAAACATTTTCAATTTCAACATCTGTATAACCACGAGCTTTTAAATCACGACGCCATTCATCGAACTAAATTCAAATAAATTATTGTTTTTTACTTCTTTATTTAAATTTATTTTTACTTACTTCAATGACTCCATCTTTATTAAGATCAGCACTTTTTAATGCATTTTTTATATCAATAATACGCTATAAGAAAATAAAATAAAAAAAGACAAGAATTCGAATCTTAAAACAAACGATTAAAAACTTACATCTCGTTTAACATGTAAACGTTCAAGCATTTTTTCATAAGATTTTTTAAAATAATCACCTAATTCAAATTCAGATTTTTGTGTTGACATATCACTTTTAACTTCCGAATATGTATCATTAATAATAGCCAAAAACATATTCAATAATACGAAAAATACAAAAAAGACATATGTCAAAAAGAATATTGGACCAAGAATACGATGTGCTTCCAAAATTGCTTAACAAGAAAGAAAAACAAACAGATTAATCATATTCAAAAAAGAAAAACAAACAATCAAAAAAATCTATTTTACCATTGAAATCAAAATCTCCCAAAATAATACGAAATAATGTAAAACTAAAAATTTCGAAAAAAATCATTTTCTTTTTTTTGTTTGTATTTTTTCAATACTTGTTCAACTTACATTGATATTGCAAATGTTTTATAATCATCAACCATTGTACCAAATAATAAATAACCCAATTGTGCATATGCCAAAAATACAATCATAAACATAACACTAAAACCAAGTACATCTTTTGCACATCGTGATAATGTTGTTGATAATTGTGTCATCGTTTTGTTGAATGATACATATTTAAATATCTAAATACAAAGTTACCCATATTAATAATCATTTACATTTTAAACCTGACAGCGTTTCTACAAGTCTATCTAATTTGATTTATGGTAGCTATAAGCTTAGTATTATCAGTTTAGAGTAATGCAACTCGCAGGCCAAGTTCGCGTATAAGGTATAGATGTGAAAAGTAACTCATTAAATACATAGTTTACTGGTCGTTCTATTAAACTATCAATGATATGTTAGAAATAATGCAATCTACAGGTCAGATTCCCATACCCGTTAAGTACTCTAGATCAGTTCGAATGTGATAGTGCGTAAGCATGCATCTAACCCAAAAGAAAAGATTTCAGGCTTGGCTATAATACATTTACACGCAGCGGAACAAATAATACAAAAACCAAAGGTCTGTAGGCATACTAAAAACAATCGACAATGATCAGAAATACTCGAATCTGAACTATAGAATGTCTCCACAATAACCCATATACCTCAAGAAACATCTAGGTAAATAACCGACACTGTCTGAACTGGTTGGATAGCTTCCAAATTTGAACCCCGGATCAAAGTTCGGGTTTGGTGCATGCCTAGTAGTATCTGATAGAATGTAGTTTAGTATAGATAAGCTTGTGAGAATTTGTTCAAGTCTAGTAATATTGTCCTGATTAAGTCATGGATTTTCTATCATTATTCGATTCAATCAAAATAATAGAAAAAATTGATTTCTGGTTGACTTTGGAAAAAAAAAACTTATAATTCTACAAATTATTATTTTATAAAATGTCTAAAGTTGCTTACTTTAATCCATGCAATAAAAACAGTAAATGCAATAATATTATTAAATTGTGTTTGCCAATAAGTAAGAAATTCAAAATCAGCAAAAATCTTTTGATTTTTTAATAAATCATCAAGAATTTGTCCAACTTTAATTTGACGATAAACATTAAATGCAATACAAATATATGAAATTAAAATAATAACTACATCAAGTACATTCCAAACTGTTTTAAAATAACGAAATTTAAAACGTGCTATCTAAAATAATAAGAAATTTTCAATTTCTAAAATTAAAAATTTAATTTTTTTTTTAGCATACTTCAATAATTTCTTCAACTGTATAATAAATCGTAAAAATAACAAATAAAATTTCACATGCTAATACAAAATAATCCATTGATGAAACATACTAAAATTATAAATATTTTTTTCTTTTGTTCATTTTAAAAATAATTAATTCTTACACGAATTAATTTAACTGTTGTAAATGTTTTTGATGGTACAGCTCCACCTGATGCTGGAAATTCTACAGTTAATTTAATTTGACAAAATAAATTTATATTTGCATTATAAACTGTAAAATCAAGAAAAACAACACGTGTACCACGATCAAGCCATAAATTATTATTAAGACTATTAAGTTCTGCTTTAGCATCATTATAATTAACTGTTAAATCTTGTACAAAACCACCACCATCATATCGAGATATTAAACCACTTGTTGATGAACCACGAAGTTCCGATGATGTTTTATAATGCCAACTGAAAACAAAAAAAAAAGATTTTATGAATATTAAAAACAATAATAAATATTTATCTTACGCTGATGATGTTAAATTATCATTTTGTGGTTCATAACTACTATGATCTTCTTTACTACTACTGTATGATGCATAACATTCATGAATTGTTGATCGAAATTTTTTATGAACAATACAAGAATCATTTGTTACCTAAAAAAACAAAATGAATCAATAAATAAAAATTTTTCATAGAAAATGAAAATATTTACACGAAGTTGTCGAAGTCGAGGTAAACCGAGAATTTTATTTTCAAATAAAACATAACCGTATTGATCATCTGTTAAACTGTCACCATTATACCATTTTTGATTAAATAAACCATCGAGAATAGGTCCATCCATAACCTAAAAATTTATATTTGTTTAGAAATAAATTGTAGAAATTTATCTTACATTCCAGAAATCTTCAAAATTTGCAATATCATCAAATGCTGGTTGATCACCAATACCTTGAACTTTTTGTTCAGTAAGAACTGTACGTAAAACCGTAGTAAAATAATATGTTTTTGTTGATGTCATTCCAAATGTAACTTTAAATAGAAAGATCAATACTTACAATAATATTCATTAAAGACCAAAAATAGAACGTGTCTTATTTATTAATATTTTAAAAATAAATATATTTTTTCGTAATTGATTTTTTTTTGTTCAACATCTAGAGAATATTCGAAACCTCGGAATAGTGTTGAACCTCTTTTCGATATTTTTTTTTTCGTATAATTTAATCAAACAAGGCTGTCGTCAAGTCTGATCTTTCAATCGGCGTTCTTTTATAATGGTTTTCTTTATTATAGTCTAAGCATAAATTGGTTTCATCATACATTAAAAAAAATTTCAATCCCCAATGAGCGGCTACACTTACGAAGGAGCATTCTCAAATGTCGGACACCGTTCGACCTCGTAGACCCCTTTGAGACTAAGAATGACGTAAAAAGAATCCAGAATTTCGCGAATAAGACTTTCTTCAACTCAACTATGAATTAGATATAGATTTTAAAAAATTCCTATCGACTACATTAATGAGTGTAAGCTATGATATATATATTCGAACAATATTAGCTTCAGCTCTCACATATATCCGATATTTATATTGTTTCGTGGTAACTTGCGAAAGTCTATCATACTTTTGTCATTGGCGAAAGTCTTACTGGCGAAATTCCGACCACCTGTCGAATCCATTGTCTATTACTGAAGAGTTATGACGGTTTTACTGAATTCATCTGTTAGAGCAAGGCATTTCTGAAAATATCAAAATAAAGAATTTTATTCTGAAATATTGCCTATAGATAGAGCTAATAATCATTAAAAACTTTTAAAATTTTCAAAGAGAACAAATATGTCACTCTCGTGATATTTAGTTTCTAAGCAACAGCAGCTTCCTACAAAAGGATGCAATAGTCAGATCCGCTTGAAAGTTGAACACATCGAGAATGACACGTTTATTCTTTTTGAAACTTTCGGAAATTTTCAATTATTATCGACTCTATCTATACGTAACATTCCAAGACAAGATTCTTCATTTTTGATATTTTTGAAAATGTCTTTCTCTGATAAAAGAATTCAGTAAAACAGTCAAAACTCTTCAGTAGTAGACCATAGGCTCGAATCATTTTTTGGGCTGTTTTTAGTCTTATAAGGATCTACACATAGTCATAATATCAAATCAAATGGCGTCCAACAGTTGTGGACATTTCTTCATCAGTTTTGCACGCTATCACTTCCGATCTAGCATGGTATACTTAGAGATTGACAAAAAAAATATTATTTATGAAAAAATGATATAGTCTGAAATGTGAGAATTTCCAAGTCTCATATCGCAGTTAATGATGTAAATAACGTGACAATATAAAATAATTCTCGTTTCTTATTTGTTAATAGAAAATTATATGGTAAATAGGTTTTTTTTTTATTAATATGAAAAGTTGAATATCGATAAAAGAAAAATTTTGTTGTGTACTTACTTATGCATAAAATAGTAATAAAGATCAAATAGATGATAAGTTCTCGTAGTGTTGTTTTCACATATAAATCTTTGTTTTTTCCAAGATCTTTTTCTGTTTGTCGTGTTGCCCAAAGTGCTAAATTTTAATCATAAAAATCAATATTTTAAATAAAAACATACAAAAAAAAAGTAAATAAATCAAATATTTACATCGAATACCACGAAGCATAGTTCGACCAATGTTATTTCGTGTAACTGGATCATGTCGAAATGGTTCTGGATGTAAACGATTCTTTTTTTCATCATCCGGTTTAACAATAAAAATATTTGAACCCATCGGACTTGGTTCATCACTATTTTTTCCTCCTGTTGGTTCTTCATCCAAAGCCGAATTCGTCGACGAATTTGGTTTTGTATCTTTTTTAGTGCTCATATCAATACTTACTCTATAACACTTGTAGGTGTAATGTTTGAAATTAGACTTCTCACAACTATTTCTTGTATGTTAACACACTCTATCTCCTTTGAGAAATGTCGTTTTTTCTACATGATAGTAAATTAGTTTTTTTTTTTTGTTTTTTATTTTCTCTGTCTCCCTCACGCTCTCTCTCTCTATATATATTTTTCATCTAACACTTTCCCACCTTCGAGTGCGTCTTAATAATAATAAAAAAGTACCATCAAGAGAATATGTGAGAAAAGAAAAGAAATTATTTTTCCAAAGATTGAAGACGACCTAGGTTGAACAAAACTACATCCGACATGTTCAAGTATTGACGTCAATAGAAAATGAATGTGAAAAAAAATGCAACGCTGACAATTCCTTTGTGTATTTTTTTTTTGAAAAATATTTATCGTGATAAAATATCAAGAAAAATAAAAATTCTTTTCTGTTTTTTTTCTTTTTCTACTGTTTGTCGATTCATTTGTTTGTCAATTATGAAGAAAAAAAATAGATATTTTAAAAATGATATTAACTAAAACATTCTCTAGTTTAATATTACATAACTAAACAAGATATTTAAAGTCTAAAATAAAAAGAAAATAACATAAAAGTACACTCTTTGGAAAACTAATGTCGAATAAACATTAAAACATTTTATATGTGATAAAAAAATAATATAATTTTGATGAATTGAATATTCTTGAACAACACTTAAACGAATTGCTTTTTGTTTCCTGTAAAAATTATAAACGAGAAAATAATTAATAAGTTTAATGCTTTTTTTTTTAAACATATTATCATTTATTTTAAATTTATTGACTAAATGATGTGTGCTAAGATTTTTTTTTGTTCTTTTTTCATGCTCTATAATTTAAAAAATTTAATGGTTCATTAATCATTATCAAAGAAAAAACATTTTGATAACAGAATGTTATTTTAATATGCAAAATAATTCGTATTATCATTTAAGAAAAAACAAAACCATGAAAAAACACAGGTATACAAAAATTTGCAAGTCAATATTATCCTTCATCAAAAGACAAGACACGACCAAAATCAAATACATTTATCAACAAATAGATAAATTCGAAGTTTTAAATGTACGGATATTCACAATAGGACGAATGACAATAATTAAATCACAAGTGCATGATAGTCATCGTCTGATCAAATATTCAACATGATTTTTCAAGAAAAAAAAACGAATTGATATTTATTTTTTTATCGAAATAAAACTATAAAATTTATAAAACGATACTATTTAAGAAAAAAAAAACTATCAACCTTCTGTTCTTTATATATTAATATTCTCCTTGAATATTTCGTTTATTTGAATGAGTATGTCAATTTTATTTTAAAAGATAACGTGAAGTGTTCGCATGATGCAATGTGGTTTTACTAGTTTTATAGTACGCGCTTTTTTTCTACTAGGATAAAAATAAAAAAAAATTTGAATTATCTTCTTCATATCTTATTGGAAATGAAAAGAAAGAAGGAGGTTATTTCTTTATCATGTGTAAATACAACGAAGTGAAATTTAATCTTCACGTCCTCATGGAATAGCATGCATGTAAAGAAGACCTATGAAATGAATTATGTGCTTGATTGCTAATGTGTATGAATTCTTGTCATCGTCAATTAAATCTGTCTTTCAACTTTATCTTTTAACTATAAATGCAACAACACAAGAAAAGAAAGGTTGTCCCTTTTTATCGATTGATGACACAAAAGAGAAAAAAAAAAGAGAACAAGAAAGTAACGATTTCGTCGTTATACTGTGAATCTATTTGCTTTTTTTCTTTACTTTTTTCTCCTCTCTTTTTTCGATCCCTTTCGTTTTTCAAATTTTATCTATTTGCTTTACGCGTGCTTCTACGATATGCGTCCATCTACTTGTGGTTTTGTTCTCATACTTTGTGTTTTATATATTCATCTCATCATGTACAGATCATAAAAAATCATTCATACTATATTATCTATTGAACAAAAAAAAACTACTAGTGCTATTTTAACATTTATTCTTATGCATTACATCATTTTGTTTTACTAAGGTATGTGTATGTGACGAACGAATATAGGTGTTCTATCTAGACTTTTTAATCTTCTAAAGTAAGTAGTCAGGAATATGAAAAATATCGTTTTCAAATTCGAAGATGATGTGCGACGCACAAGTCACACAAAATACCTGCATATTAGCATTGAAATATGAAGGTTGAACTTATGATGAGGTATAACCATATTCTATATTAGTGTTTTATTCTAAATTCCAAGATAAACATGTTATATTGAAGATGTAGGTAAGAGACAAAAGTGTAAGTGTATGTGATGCAATCATTATTGCAAAAATGTGTGTGTGTGTGTATGACGTGATCATCTTACATTCTCTTTATTTCAGAAAAGAAAAAGAAGAAAAGATGATCGTATATATACAGTTAAAAACGAAAAGAACAAAAGAAATCGATTATCTTCGAATTTTTCTTCACGAAAAAGAAGGAAAGAACGAATAATAAATACATTTCAAGCATGTTTCAATGTGATGGCATTGACTTCTCTTTATGATGAGGAACAAAAGAAATATATCTGTCATAGTCCTTGATTAATAAATCTAAAAGAGCAATAAATCGAGTCACGGATAAGATAGAAAATAAAAATATATATGAAAGTAACATTTTAGAGCATTTGTAAGTAATAAGTTCGTATGTCGAAAAAGAAAATCGATTTCATTGTGTTCAATCAAAAAAAAAAAAATTGTTTTTATTGAATTTGTTTTTTTTATTTTGGATTTGGTACATCATCAAACAATATATCATGAACGATATATTGGACTTTGCGAAGAAATTTGGTGCTGGCAAACATCATGCAGCACGTAATGATGATGTATTTATTGATCGACTTAATCATAGATATACAGTAACAATGATTATAGTATTTGCAGCTATTGTTACAACTCAGCAATATTTTGGTTCACCTATAACATGTTGGGTAAGTTATTTGATTTCTATTTTATTAACTAATTTTCTTTGATCGATTTAGGTACCTGCTCAATTTACGGGTGGTTATGAAAAATATGCTAATGATATATGTTGGATAATGAATACATATTATGTTCCAATGGAACATGACATACCACACGCTGAAACAACTCGATATGAACGTGAGAAAATTTGTGTTTGATTTATATTTAGTAAAATATTCTTATTTTTTTATTTGAAATTAATATTTAGGTATGCTTAAATATTATCAATGGTCACCATTTATTCTTTTATTTATGGCACTTTGTTTTTATTTTCCACGTATGCTTTGGAGAGCATTAAATCATAAATCAGGTTTAGATATAGAAAAATTAGTTGATCAAGCTATGAAACAAGAACAACAAGCTAAACCAGATGAAGAACGAAAGAAAACAGTCGAACATATCGTTAGTGCGATACGTGTGTATATTGAAAACCGTTATACGTCTTTAAACCAACATCATATTCATCCACAAAGTTTTCCTCAAAAATTTTGGTATTTTGTAACATTTTGGCGTCATCGTCATTTAAGTGCATACATAGTTCTATTATTTACATTTGTTAAATTCCTTTTTCTTATGAATTCCCTAGTACAAATATTTCTTTTAAATGCTTTTTTGGGTAATGAATATCATTTATTTGGTTTTGAAGTCATTACTAAATTTCTTCGTGGTCTTGATTGGGGTGAATCAAAACGATTTCCACGTGTTACATTATGTGATTTTCATATACGTGAAGTTGGTATTGTACATCGTTATACAGTTCAATGTGTTTTACCAATTAATTTATTCAATGAAAAAATTTTTCTTATACTTTGGTTTTGGATTTTGCTCTTAGCTGCATTCAATATTGGGGATTTTATATCGTGGCTTTTACGTATTATACGTGTTGATAGTCGTTCAGCTTATGTACGACGAAAATTAGCTATGCGTATTACTAATAAACCTATTGATTATGAGGAATCTACTAGTCAAGAACCAGCAAAAGGGAATGAAAAACAGATAAGTAAAACTTTTGTTCGTGATTATTTACAAGAAGATGGATGTTTTGCACTTCGACTTTTGGCGCGTAATGGACAAGATATTATTGTAGGTGAAGTAATTGATGCATTATATGATCATTACCGTAAAACCTATATTGCCGACCATTATAATTCTGATCGTTCAATAAGGAATTCAAATGGATTATCGCATATTGTTCAACATACTACATCATATCGATCTACAACTTCTACAAAACCACCATACGATACACCAAATAATGATAATGAAGGACGACAGTTAATAGACAGAACATAATGATGACTTTGAATCTCTTGTTTTATGCGACACATGTGATATCT